TCGACCTATCTTGTTGCGTTTTAAGGACCTCACATTAAAGAGCCTGGTCTGGAAAGCCAAAACGAAACTGAAGGGAACCTCGTATGTGCTCTCGGAATTTTTGACGCGTCACCGTCAATCGGCTTTCGCTGCAGCTCGTAAATTATTCGGTGTAACGAGTGTGTGGACGATGGACGGGAACATCAACGTCAAACTGCCAGATGGTAAGAGGCGGCGTATTTACAGCTATGAGGAGGCGGTGGAGTTGGGCGCGAAGCATGGTAAATCGATGGAAGTCCAACCTTCTTCAAGTGCCAAGTCCATCTTGAAAAAGACTGCAGCGTCGTCGTCAAATTTTTAAATAATGAATGTCGGCGTTTCCCGAATTGTTTTAACGTATGCCATGTTAACGCCCAAAGTGTTCCTCAACACCACTCGGAGTTGTTGGATATGTTTTCAGACACGTTGATCCATGCTGTACTGATCTCCGAAAGCTGGCTTAAGCCCGAACTTCTCTCCACCTCATTCAGCTTGCCTGGATTTATCCTAGTTCGGAACGATCGCATGGGAAAACGAGGCGGTGGTGTTGCTATCTTTTTACGTAGCGGTATCTCTTATAAAATTTTTAATTCTTCTCCCTCTCTTTTCAGCGGTAGTCCGGAAAGCCTGATCCTTGAGGTCGATAAACTCAAACTCAAACTCAAACTCAAAAGCATTTATTTCAATTAGACCAGAGGAGTCAAAGCTGTTCTGGGCGTTGTCTACTGCTCCCCGGCTATCAACTATTTCTCTCAACTGGAAACCCTTTTTGACTCTTTTTCCTCGGAGTACAAGCATCACATTGTCATGGGGGATTTTAACATTGATCTCACTAGGTCCACCCCGAGGTCACGTGGCCTGGGGTCGATCCTTGAGTCGTCGAATCTTTCAGTTCTCCCACTAGACCCAACCCATTGTAATGTTGGTTCCGATGACTCTTGGATTGACCTCATGCTCGTGTCTTCCCCGGAGCTGGTCGTTAATCATGGACAGGTCGCGGCGCCAGGGTTATCTAGACATGACTTGATCTTCCTGTCAGATAAGCCACCTAAGCAGCGTCCTGCCATCGTGTTTCTTCGTAACTTTGCGGGTATAGACAAGGCCAAACTTGCCAGCGAGGCACAAACAAATGACTGGACAAACTTATATCAATCGACTTCTATAGATGAGAAAGTGGATTTCTTCAATGAGACTGTATTAAGACTTGTGGATTCTCACGCACCTCTGAAGGCAGTCCGTCTCATTACCCCGTTGAAATCCACCCCCTAAATTTGGTCATACAAAAGTAGTCTCTAAACATTACAAATAAGGTCTATAATGTAATGTAATATTCGTGGAAAGCGGTCACCGGTGACCGCTTGGGGATTTATGGGTTAAAGACCCATTTCTATCCTTCCTTACCTGTCCAAGATCCTCGAAGCGGTGGTTCTTAAACAAACGTCCTCTTACATATTTAAACATAAACTGCTGTCTCCCTTCCAATCAGGTTTTCGGCCCGGCCACAGCACATCCACTGCCCTGCTGAAGGTCACAGAGGATGTAAGACATGGCATGGAGGGTTCGAGGTTAACTGTGTTGGTTTTAATCGACTTCTCCAACGCTTTTAACATGGTTGACTACGATATTCTCTTGGCCGTGCTCACTCAGATTGGATTCTCGGCGTCATCGCGGGATTGGTTTTCTACATATCTTCGCGGTCGCCAGCAGGCGGTTCGCGTTGGTCAGGAATTCTCCGACTGGGGCGGGCTAACAGCTGGTGTACCGCAAGGCGGTATACTCTCTCCTTTGTTATTCTCTCTATTTATAAATTCTATCACTAGTCTCCTCAAATGCTCTTATCATCTTTACGCCGATGATCTACAACTATACGCTCAGGCTGATATCGCTAACTTGAACACCTGCATAGAACATCTCAACACTGACTTACTTGCGATTGAAGACTGGTCAAGAAAGTATGGGGTTGCAGTGAATATAGGCAAATGTCAAGCCCTCATCTTGGGTAGGTTCCTATTACTTGAATAACCTAAATGTCAATCAGCTTGATCCGATAACATTTAATCAAACCACCATACCATTGTCGCCTCAAGTAAAGGATCTAGGTTTGTATCTGGACAGCGGGCTCAACTGGAACTATCAGGTCGCTCGGATTGGCCGGAAAGTCACTGCCACGCTACGATCTCTCTACAGGTTCAAGAACTTTCTGCCACCAAATATCAAGACACTGCTTGTCCGGTCCCTTGTGCTTCCTGTTATTGATTATGCTGATGTTTGTTACTCCGATCTATCCCAAGACCTTCTGAACAAATTGGATCGAATGCTCAATAACTGTATCCGCTTTATCTTCGGTCTTCGTAAATACGACCACATCTCTTCCTTTCGCGTTCAGCTTAAATGGCTTCCTGTCCGTGAGAGGAGATCCCTCAGATCCCTCTGCATGCTCTTCTCTATTCTTAATGATCCTTGTGCTCCAGAATACTTAAAATCCTGCTTCCAGTTTTTAGGCAGTTGCCACAACCGTAACCTCCGCTCGACGGACAACTTGCTTCTTGAAATACATACCTTCCCACCGCACCTCTTTCGTTTCTAATTCCTTTACAATAACTGTCATCAAACTTTGGAACGCGCTCCCCCTCAATATCAAAAAAGCTCCTAATAAAATCTCTTTTAAACATCAAGTTCACGAATTTTATTTAAAATCGTTGCAAAGCATGGTTTAGGCCTTCGTCGATATATATTTATGTATGTATTTATACCTATATATTTTATGCATATGACTATATATATTCTTAAGTATTGTATAATATTATATATGTATAGCTATATTATTTTTTATTTTCTTTTTTCTCTCACACTCTTTGCTGTTAGTTTATTCTCCGTACATACCTTATTTTTCGCTGATTTTCTACTTAAACCCTAAGGTTGACTGGTAGAGAATGCCATATGGCATTAAGTTCGCCTTATGTGCCATAATAAAATTGTGTACATAAAAGAATAAATAAATAAAAAAAATATGTGTATAACAGCGATAGTTTTCCTCATTTCCGTTGAAAACTATGCGAGGAGACAGCGAACAATTCTATTAGAGTATCAATCAATTTTATAGGTACTTATGCCTATCTACTTCTATGACCAACACTAAAGGTGAACGCACACTTATTCGAGCCGAACGTGTTGAACGAGTCGAACGAAATTAATTTCAGAATTGGGTACTTAGGTACTTTCGTTAATCAAAAATAAATGATTTCGACTGTTCTCAAAACAATAAATAATATTAAAAATTAGTCATACCTACATAATATTATACACACACAACTTCACGCCTGTCTCCCATGGGGGTAGACAGAGACTATCGGAAAGCCAATTACTACGATTCCTTCATACCCTTTCGCTTCATCAACAGTCATCAGTTTTTTCATTCATGCTCGTCGGTTAAGGGTACTTTTAATTTGGCCTTCTTTAATATATCGCCAATCTGGTCAGTATATGTACGTCTAGGGCGCCCTCTACCGACGGCCCCATTCGTGTCCGCTCTGTATGTCTTGGTTCGTTATTCTACTTTCATCCATCCCTTTTACATGTCCAAAGTGTCCAACCAAACCAGTAAAAAAATAATCACACTTCCATTAATTGATTTTAATATAACCAACTTAATTTTATTATTTTTCTGGCAATTTTGTAAGAAATAAGAATGTTGTTTGACGCAAAAAACATGACGTCACAACACACAATCTCGTACGAAATTCATATAAAACAGTTGTTGACAGTTCGAAAAGACTATTGAATTTGACTTGTTGGCAAGTAGGTACCCAATACACAAATCTCATAGTCATGACACCTCACACACTCCTCCGCGTCGAATCATCTGAATCCGAAATGTGTACAGTACCCATACCTTTAGAAACGACAAACCAAAGAGGAACAGGACAGGAGCGCAGAGCGTCACTAAGCTTCTTTCTTTGGCATGCAGTTTTCAACCGTATGATTTATTAGTTAAGATTTATTTGTAATTGATTTACTCTCAACTAGCTTCTGCCAGCGGCTTCGCCCGCGTTCCCGGGGGTAAAAGGTAGCCCGCGTTAGACAATAATCTACTTCTGTTCCTTTCATCTTGGTCCCTTCAGCCGTTGTTATGTGACTGAGTAACAATTACATACACACAAACAAATAATTAATACCATTAAACAACATAAATATTCAATACCATTTATAATAATATCGGTTCAAGCTAATTTCAACCATCGGCCCTACAGTAACAGCGTAAAGTCCACTGTGGGCAACCTAACATTCGACAAAGTTATATTTGCGTTTGGTACAGTAGCTATGTCTAGGGATTGAGCTGCACAATTAAGTTTGTTTTTTCGTGTATATATACTTTTTCGGGATACAATACAAAGTACCTAACCAGTGTTGTGCCCAGGATATTAAAGTATAATCATACCAAGTTTCATCATAATCGGACTGGTAGTTTTTGCGTGATGCGTGAACATACAGAGACACAGACAAAAAATTTTTTAATCACATTTTTGGGTTCGGTATCTATCTAGCAACACCAACCTATATAGTATTTATTTTTTTAATATTTTCAATGTACAAAAACACTTCTACAGTTTTATTAAATGTATATAGATATAGATAGCTTGGCTGCACCTTCGCCGGTGTGCGCTGAGCCCTAGGCCCTAAGATGCTAGAAACTTCAGGAGTTATGAATGCACTGTGCTGGAGTGGGACAGAATTATACATTTTGGTATAGCGGTATCTCGCTTCATCAGTAAAGTAATGGCTTTACCTCAGACGGTATGTATAATTCAATAAAAAACATTCTGTAAAAAACTAGCTAAGTCTCGATGGAGCTACTCGTTCATCTCAAAAAGTACAGAAATCAAGACACAGTCGTGCCAAGTCCAAGATTCCTTACTGCTGTTATATGTTTCGAGGATATAATGGTGCCAATTAAAGTCCGTTAATTCCAAATATACGTTTATTACAATTTTTAATGTTACACGGTCGGTGGGGTACGGGTAAGTGAACGATGACGACTGATTTCTATTTATGTAATATGCGCCTGTACAAAACATAATAGCAGCAATAGCGAACGCATTTTATTTGCATTATATTTCTTGAAGGCGTTTAAGCCTGAACAACTGCAATTACTTTATTATTACTTATAGTTAATGTTATGTGAATAACATTTAAATACAACATATACTATTTATATTGACATAGTCAAATATTAAATTCATGATTATTTCTGTTTGTCTACCCACTTTATTTTAACAAAATTAATAAAATGTACACACCTATATTAATAATGTTTATTCAAGAATGTTGTTGTACACACATTGGTTGCATTTACATTGAAACTTTCAAATTGCATATTGCTTAAAAGTATTGCATTAAACTGTCAAACACCAAGCGGTCACCGGTGACCGCAACCTATTGTTCTATAATTGTGTCTACAAAACCGGTACTCGACAAGTTAAATTAATAGTAACAATAATAAACTGAAATTTGTAACAAATATATTTACAATGTACACTCAAAAGTATCACACCTTTAAATATATCCTACACAAATAATTATATCCTAGATTTGGAAACCTTCAATAAAATTAAATTCAAGCAAATCAGAGGCATTTACAATAAGTTTCCAATCTATATTTAAAGACATTTATATACCTATATTAAAATGCATCAAACAAAAATCGTCCACAGCTGATCATTAAAAAATAAAATAAATCTAAGACAAATACAAAAACATTTCATTAAACATCATCATCATCATCATTAGGTATCTGTGACTCTTCAATAGTCCTAGACGCAGGAATGTACACATTAAATGTAAACTCAGTACGAGGGAATGAACCAGGATTGATAACTTGACACTCCTTGTAATTCCTCACAAATGGTTGGAAATGATCAGCTACTACTACTAGATCTGGTAACGGATAAAGGTTTAACGCACTAGCATGTCTCCAAAACACAGGCTGCACTCCCAATGACATGGGTGTCAGACAACACTGACTTAGCAAAGTTTTTGTCAAATGATCGGGTATATCACCGTTATCCGGAAAGTGTAAAGTATTCCTACATAATTTCATCACCAAGTCCTGTCTAAATACAACAATCTCTTGTGTACAATATTGTATCCGACACGGGTTTGTTGTAAATATTGCACTGTCACCGAGCTTCCTCTGTATAGTGTCTGTGAAGTAGTCTGGTAGCGGTGGTCTTGGTAAAACATTTGCTGCAGCAGGATCTGACTTCCCCGGCACAAACACAAACTTGCAGTAATCACGTAAATTCCTAAACTGACATATTGTATCTGCTAATGAATTCAATCCATTCATAAGGTGCATATGGAATTTATAAGTGTATGGACATGATAGAAATTCACCAATGAGAACAATAGCTATAGGAGGATACTCATCGAAGCCAGCAAATAGTTTCTTCAGTCTGTCCATCACTTTGGGACTGTCCAACCAAACATCGGACACAAATACAATAACTCCATCTCTATTGTCATTCTCGATTTTCAAGAGAGCTTTAGAGTTCTTCAGAGAAGTCCTTGATTTTCCCCCAAATGTATTTAAGTTACCAAAATATGGGGATGACTCTTCTCTACTCTCCACTGGGGGCTGCACTAGACCAGTTGCATGTAGTGTCTTGTCTTCAAAGTAGCCCTCTACTAACACATAACTGCCTTCTGTGAACAAGCCAGAGTGGTACCTCACATTTGATATATCAAGTAACACTGAGCCTGTAGGGTCTTCTAAATGGTACTGCCTCTCGATAACCTGTGTCAGCAGTCCCAGCACAACTACATCATTCACTCTGCTGGAGCAACTTAATAAAAACTCAACTTTGCGCAACTGAAAACGTTTATTATTCTCAGAAGAATGCACTTTGTCTAATGTGAACAGTTTGTTCCTAAGTGTTCTCTGCCATATCACTGTGTACCTGTCTATCATGAAGCGGGACTTCCATCGAGCATCTGGTAGCAAACATTTCTCGTTAGTGATGTCTTTCAAGAATTTCTTTAGTTCATAGTCGTAACATAGCTTGGGCACCGTGAATGCATCTATTATATTAAGGACAGTTTCATGTTCTTCCAGTCCAGCTGTAGAACACTCTTTGAACGCTATTTCTATCTGTTCCTTCTCTAATATAGGCTGGGATACACACTGGTGAAGTAAATGAGCTGATAGCTTCTCGAGAATCGAGTCCCGTTCTGAAGGTGGCAACAGTATGAGCTCTTCAGCCAGAAATGTTCCTGCATCCCGACGTAAAGTAAAACCATTCAGTTTAAAAGTTGAAGTGATTTCTGCACGCAATTGTTGCACTTCGCCCATATTAGATTGTTTGTTATTATCAATATTCTGGTCAATAAACTCAAACAAAGTAGAAATAAATAGGTAACAAGTAAATCGCGCCAAATTTTATGTCAAATTGTCAAGAAACAAACACTGATTGGTGAAAATGACATTTTTCAAGACATCATGGTTTTGTTTACAAGGAATGTTTAATAGATGTTCTCTTTATGTTATGTTTTAATTTTGATAACAAATAGTTATACATTAGTCAATAATTTTTCAATATTTTTTGTTCTTTTTTCGTATATATATAACATGATGCTTATCTAAAAGCATCATGTTAATTTTTAAAGATTAAAAAGAATAATGTTTGAAATTAAGCGCACTTTGTAAACGCTTGACTAAAACACGTTACGTTATCTGCTTTTTGCCTGCTTGGTGTTTGACAGTTTAATGATTGACAAATCTAAATAAAACAGCGATAACTTTTCATTCAGCAGATCAATTTAAATAGATTGAGATAAACGTAGATTGTAAAAGAATTTCGTATACACTACTTGGCTATGATATTATCTATAGACCACTGATAAACGGTGAAGGAAAGCATCGTGAGCAAACCTGTGCTTATAATATCTAATTTTATGTTTGTAATCACCAACCCAAGTGAGCTCTTCACCCAGCCAGTGAGCCTATTGCCATAATCGGGCACAATTCTAGACTCCGTGCTACTACTGAGAATTTTTAAAAACCCTGTTTAAAAAGTATTACTATTTGCCCGACCCGAGAGCCCGGAAGTGGCACTTGCGGCCACTCGGCCAACGAGGCAGTCTTTGTTAATAGCTTTGGTTAAACTTTTTAGAAATACCGGAATAAAGTATCTAAGTTATAAAACAATAGATCGTATATGAGGCTCATATAAAAGCATATCTCCAGTACATAGGCGGATACATAATGTAATAGTTATGTAGGCCGCCTCGTCGGCGCGTTGTAAATCTAATGGCCCAGCGCATTCTGAATGCAACCATCGGGCATACTACACATGATCTCATACAGAGATGATAATACCAACCTATGGCGTTGTAATATTTGATATTATAACCACTGCACTTCATTGATTCAGTTCAAGTTTGTTAAAGGATAAATAAACATAAGGTACACGAGAACAATTGACCAGACTGCACGGTTGGCGCGGGGGCTAGGCAGGTTCGATTCCCGCACGGAATAACTTTTTCCGGGTCTGGGTGTCATTTGCATGTGATTGTATGTTTGCAAACGCACCCACGACACAGGAGAAGATTCTAGTGTGGGGCAATGTTTTTTTAAAAAGAAAAAAAATGTTTTTTTTTTTCACGAGCTAAATAAACTTAAAACAGAACTCCTATCAGAACGTTAACGGTGGTTCGTTCTCACTCTCTCTCTCTACTCCACTTCTATCATTCAGCGTCTCTAGCGGTGTGGTGAGCTTCTACTTTGTGTAGCCAGGCGCCATAAACTCCACTGGAAAAATGGCTTTCGCTAGAAATTATAATTAAAATCCTACCGAATGAAAATGACATTACTAAAGCCGTAGGAAGTCAAAAGAAGCAGGTCGCTCTCAACTGGCCGATCTGAAAGTTAAAGTATTTATGTATTTTAAACTATAAAAATTGAACTGTTCATCAGTTTGTCTGTCAATAAAGCTAGCTGCTTGTTTTAAAATGCAGGTAGCTTCGTATGCAAATAAAAAAATATTTATTAATGCAATTTGTTAAGACATTGCGTGGTTAGATGTTGAGAAAATCAATGTGAGAGGTTATATCAGGCAGAACTGTGCAAAGTAAATAAGTAGGTACTTATTTCCTAAAGCAACTCGCGATAAAAATAAAACAACAAGAGGGCAGAAATCTCAACAAAGTGTTTAATATTTAATAATCCACTCAAAAGTACATCAAAGTATTTGCATATTTTATTTTACTGAACGCATTTGTGTACCTAGCTTACCTGCTTGAAATCTTCACGAATGTAAGATTTTTAATTTTAACGCAAAATCTACTAATTATAAATTATAGGTGGGTGTTTGTTTAGGGTCTCGTGACTCCCATGGTACCATACATTAGGTCATTATTTCCGCAAGTCATCGGGATAAAGGAGTACGTATAGGTGTATAAATACAATATAACGTCTATTTTTATTAACGACTGACAAAAAGAGTAAAATAAAATCGTTGGGTGTCGCGTATCCAGAGCAGGTACATGACACATGATGACATATAATAGAAGGCGCCCGATCATTTTATATTTGTCTGATCAATACCATAGATTGACGAGAATGATGAACCTATTGTTAATTTGGCATACACCAACCTCCACCTCTGCCTTCGTACTGATTCTAAAAACCGAATAAATCCATTAATACGTTTCCCGATCTATACATATATACATCAAACCTGATACCCCTTGCTAGATATTTATTGCTTCTCAACCTAGTATTATAAATGTCATTTTTTTGGGTTTAATCATGCTAAAATGGTTCATTTTTGACTGCTACCAATAACATCTGCATGTCGATATTTTTTTCTTCTGATAGATATTATATTCCGGTTTTACTATCAGATAATACTTACAATACAAATTAAATAATAAGAAAATGTATTTAAAATCAATTTTTAGTGGATGGGTTTTTAAAAATCTCAATAGTAGCACGGAGTCTGGAAATGTGCCCGGTTTATGGCAATAAGCTCACCCCCTATTACATGGGAGTCATAACATAAATAGTGAAAAGTAGGTGTTACATGGCACAGTGGCATTAAGTGCCGTAATGTGCACCTCTGCCTACCCCCTTTTTTTTTTTTTTTAAGGGGGGAAAATCATCGAATGTCTGCTCCCGCCTGGGTGAGGCGGAAGGGAGTGTTAGACTCTTACTGACTAAAAACCACCCCGTTCCTTCTCCTGCACGTCGAGCCGGAGCCCTGGTTACCCGTTAGGTTCTCCGCGACTCCGAATCGGCATCGGCCCTATTGGGCCCCATCTGTGGTGGTCTGATGGCACTTTGAGGCGCGCGCGGAACGCGACGCGCCGTACGCTCAGGTCTGTTTCTGGTCGGACGGGACGCTTACGGTGGCCGGAGATCGTCTCGCGATCCCCGACGCCCGGTGTGTCCTTCGCGATCTGCCTACCCCTTCGGGGATAAAAAGGCGTGATGTTATGATGTTATGTTTTTAGTAGGCGGTATAAACCACTCTTAAAATGTATTGCCAAAAATTCTATTTGGCTTGGTGCAACGCGAATACGTCGCGAGGATCGGCCTTCCCGCCGCTCTCTTATATATTTATTATGTGACTTAGGCCAGGAGCTCGACAGCCGAATTCTCGCTTATATCTCAACTAAGTAAAGAAACTGATCGTTATTTGGTTTTAGTACATTGTCATGCTTTGAATACAAATGAATAATTACGTAGATATGATGAGCTGTCGTGGTGGCCCGGAGGTTTAAGACGCCCGCGTCTCATGCATGAGGGTGCGGAATCGCAACCTACCAACGGCAAGTACCAATGTGACTTTTTCCGAGTTATATGTATGCACTTTCTAAGAATATTTAGGCACCACTGACAAACGATGAAAGGAAAAATCGTAAGAAAACATGGCATTGAGCCAGCGTAGTGATTACTGCTCAAACCTGTTCCGTGTGAGAAGAGGCTTTGCTCAGCAGTGGGCACTTATAGTTGATGTTGATGATGATGATGAATGATGGAGATATTAAATACAAAATAATAACAATGTTTCTTTTTTTGTTCAGGGGAGAAAATCAACAAATTGCTCCTCCCACTATGTGTGAGGAAGTGTCAGATTCTTACTGACTAAAAGCAACCCGTTCCAATTCCTATTTATGAGTAGCAGCGGATTACCTAATCTCTGCATCAACCACACTGTCGATGATGATGAATATATAACATAACATCATGCCTTTTATCACGGGTAGGCAGAGGTGCACACAGAAGTAACACCCACTTTTCACTATTTATGTTATGAGTCCCATGTAATAGGGGGTGAGCCTATTGCCATATACCGGGCACAATTCCAGACTCCGTGCTACTACTGAGATTTTTTTTAAAA